ATACTTAATGTAATTCAGGTAAGTCGTGCAAAAATTAATTAAACAAATTTCAACATGGTTTAATAAAAGTTTGTGTAGGGACCTGTTTATCAATGTCGATAAAAATCGTAATTTTTTTAAAAAATCAAAAATCGATGATTTTTTTTAAGAAAATTACTTTTATTATTTTGTAAATCTAATTTTGGATAGTTCTTTAGTTTTTATTGATATACTAGATTTCGCTTATGTTGGCCTCTATTTTTTTTGGGTAAAAGGTACCCTAGTGCTTTTCTGTAACCCTGAAAATGTATGTATAAAATTTACCCGCGGTTCCGCACGCGTTAATGTCCTAGATACGTATCAGTGGTCATGGACGACCACAAACAACTAATTTTTTTGTCCCTCGCGAACAGTATACTTTTTTTGGATAAAGGTACCCTTTGTCCCTTCCTGCATCCCTGAAAATGTGCATAGAAAATTTCATGATAGGTTTTACTCGAGGCTTTGCTCGCGTTGATATCCATAAAACCAATTTTTCTATCCCTCGGGAATGGTATTTTTTTTAAGGATAAAAGGTACTCTTTGACCTTTTCTGTACCCCTGCCAAAGTGTGTACCAAATTTTTTGATGATCAATTGAGTACTTAACATTTTTAATAGTTCAATTAACTTCATTTTCTTAAATTAATTATTTCATTCCAAAAAAATCATTGGAATCATGATTTTAATCAATTGATTTAAATTATCTCAACCCTGCTGCTTATAAAGTTTTCTCTAAATTTTCCGAATTTCTTCTTCGAAAAACTTTGAAATTGTTTATTGGTTATAATTATATTTATTACAATATATTCTAATTTTTTTTATATTTATTTATTTGTTTATTTATTATTGTATTTAGGCTACTGAAAAAATTGTCTTACACTCCTTATGGTTAAATCTAACCTAATCAAGTAATAAAATGGTAACAAGTTGTCTGATGTCTAGAAATGTCACATTTCTGCAATTAATTTGACAATAAGCAATTAATTTGACAATAAGTCATGTACATATTTATGACTTGTGAATTGCTTGGAGTTAATTAACTAGTTAAGAAAGAAAGTTGTTAAATTTCTACTTATTCCGCCTCTAACTATAGCAACAGTCACGTCAAAATACATGAAACGGTGTAGGAGATAAAAAGTACAAAATGTCACCTCTTTGCAGGCCTAGCATGTCCCAAGGGACTGTTATGCTACACAACAGGCCCTACGAGAAAGACTTCACTGTCGCCACACCAGAAGAATTCGTTAGGCGATTTAACGGTACGAAAGTAATAAATAAGGTAAATATGAGTCAAAACAAAAATATTTAATCAAAAAATAATTTCTAAACACTAATTAAATAATAGTAGTTGGGTACGTACTTAAAGACAGTCAACTTTAATTTTATTGAATTTGCGTTATTTTACTATTATTCATTTGCTCTTGTTTTTTCTGCTTTTTTTAAACATGAATATTCATATGTAAATTTGGTAAAAATGATAAAGCTTATTATTTTTTATTAAATATGCCTTTCAGAGGCAGATACTTTTTTCTTGCTATATCCTACGTCCTTTCTTACTAATTAATATTCAAAAATTAGCATCCAATTCAGGAATTGCTAAAACAATGGTAAAAAATTTGACCATAAGTTTCTTTCTAGGTTCTTATAGCAAATAATGGCATTGCGGCTGTCAAATGTATGAGAAGTGTGAGGAGATGGTCGTATGAGATGTTTAAGAATGAAAGAGCTGTAAGGTTCGTGGTAATGGTCACCCCAGAAGACTTGAAAGCGAACGCAGAATACATCAAGATGGCCGATCATTATGTTCCTGTTCCCGGTGGGACAAACAACCACAACTATGCCAATGTAGAACTTATAGTAGATATTGCCATCAGATGTCAAGTACAAGTAAGAAAGTTATATTTTCTCAAAGATTTGAGACGATTTCTATAGCAACTTTTGGGACCCATATATGGTAAAAAAAGGATTAATATTTGTTTTATTTTAAAGGCTGTTTGGGCTGGTTGGGGTCATGCTTCGGAAAATCCAAAACTCCCCGAACTTTTACATAAAAACGATATAGCATTCATTGGTCCCCCTGAAAAGGCTATGTGGGCACTCGGTGATAAAATTGCTTCTTCCATTGTTGCTCAAACTGCCGATATTCCGACCCTGCCGTGGTCAGGTTCGGATTTAAAGGCGCAATACACTGGAAAAAGGATCAAGATATCGTCAGACTTATTTAGCAAAGGATGCGTCCATTCGGCTGAGCAAGGTCTAGCTGCTTGTCAAAAAATTGGATTTCCTGTGATGATAAAAGCTTCAGAAGGAGGCGGTGGTAAAGGTATACGTAAAGTGGAGTCTGCGGATGATTTTCCATCAGCGTTTCGACAGGTAAAATGCATCTCTTTTTTTGTCGTCTTTCTGATATTAATTTCGGAATTTTATTTAGGTCCAAGCGGAAGTTCCTGGATCGCCCATTTTCGTCATGAAATTGGCAAAGTGCGCGCGCCATTTGGAAGTACAACTTTTAGCAGATCAGTACGGTAACGCTATATCCCTTTTTGGAAGAGACTGCTCAATTCAACGTCGTCACCAGAAAATTATTGAGGAAGCTCCTGCAGTCATAGCGAAGCCAGAAATATTCGAAGAAATGGAGAAAGCAGCAGTTCGTCTAGCAAAAATGGTGGGCTATATTTCTGCTGGAACTGTGGAATACCTGTATGATGTATCTGGGAAATATTATTTCCTTGAACTAAATCCCAGATTGCAAGTCGAGCATCCTTGTACGGAAATGGTTTCAGACGTAAATTTGCCAGCAGCGCAACTTCAGGTAAAACAATATCCCTTGCTTTATGTATTATCCTCCCTTTATTAATACTTATTTGCGTTTTAGATTGCCATGGGTTTGCCTTTACATTACATCAAAGACATCCGGATGTTGTATGGTGAATCTCCGTGGGGCACATTCGAAATCGATTTCGACGCTCCACTTCACAAACCAGAACCTTGGGGACACGTTATTGCGGCACGTATTACTTCAGAAAACCCGGATGAAGGTTAATAATCATAATGATAGTGTGTGTTAATGGGAGTTTAATAATACTTTTGATTATTTTCCACAGGTTTCAAGCCCAGTTCCGGTACGGTACAAGAATTGAATTTCCGATCTTCTAAGAACGTCTGGGGTTATTTCTCAGTGGCAGCTTCAGGAGGTCTGCACGAATTTGCAGACTCGCAATTTGGGCATTGTTTCTCGTGGGGTGAAAATCGAGAACAAGCACGTGAAAATCTAGTCATTGCCTTAAAGGAGCTTTCCATCCGTGGTGATTTTCGTACCACTGTAGAATATTTAATTACATTGTTAGAGACCAAGGACTTCCAAGAGAATACTATAGATACAGCGTGGTTGGATATCCTCATTTCTGAACATGTTCAAGCTGAAAAACCGGATGTTATGCTGGCTGTTATGTGTGGAAGTTTACATATAGCTGAAAAAACCATAAACAATGCCTTCACTGAATTCCAAAACTCATTAGAAAAAGGACAGATTCAAGGATCTAACGCTTTAACGAACGTTGTCGATGTAGAACTTATTCATGAAGGGTATGAAATTTTAAAGATTCTTTAATTTTTAAATTCGAATTATATTTATTTTGCTTTTAATAGAAACAAGTATAAAGTACAGACAACAAAGAGTGGACCCAACACATACTTTTTAGTTTTGAATGGATCTTTTAAAGAAATCGAAGTGCACAGACTTAGTGACGGTGGTATTCTATTGTCTGTTGATGGAGCTTCTTTTACGACTTATATGAAAGAGGAAGTCGATAGATATCGTATTGTAATCGGAAATCAGACTTGTGTCTTCGAAAAGGAAAATGATCCAACAATTTTAAGATCACCGTCTGCAGGAAAACTCATTGGATATCTCGTAGAAGATGGTGGTCATGTTGATAAGGGTCAAACATATGCAGAAATTGAGGTACACATGAATCAAAGAAAAAAAGTCGCCAACTGTCTTTACTTTTAATTTTCTTTTAAGGTGATGAAAATGGTCATGACGTTGACTGCTACAGAATCAGGATCGATTTTCTTTTGTAAAAGACCTGGTGCCGTGCTGGATGCGGGTTCAGTAATAGCCACACTGGAATTGGATGATCCTAGCCTTGTGACAAAGGCGCAACTTTATAAAGGACCGTTCCCGGAACTAGATGTTTCTACCCCTGTACATTCCAATAAATTAAACCATATTCATAATACATATAAGTCTGCACTGGAAAGCATTCTTGCAGGTTAGCTGACAAAAAATTAATGCAATAGAGTAAAACAGCCCCTATATCAATTTCTTTCAATTTTCTAGGATATTGCCTTCCTGACCCATATAACGTTCCTCGTCTTCGAGAAATTATTGAGAAGTTTATGTCAAGTTTACGTGATCCAAGCCTTCCATTGCTGGAGTTACAGGAAGTCATGGCGTCCATTTCTGGCAGAATTCCAGCAGCTGTAGAGAAGAAAATTCGTCGTTTGATGTCTCTCTACGAGAGAAATATTACCTCAGTCTTAGCACAGTTCCCTAGTCAACAAATTGCAAGTGTTATAGACAGTCACGCAGCCTCAATGCAAAAGAGGGCCGAACGAGATGGGTTCTTCTTGGCTACAGAAGGCATCGTACATCTTGTGCAACGATATCGAAATGGAATCAGGGGAAGGATGAAGGCTGCTATCCAAGATCTCTTGAAGCAATATTATGAAGTTGAAAGCCAATTTCAGCAAGGTAATTTTTTAAGGAAAATATTTGAAGAATTAAAATTTCTAAATATTTAATTGTTTTTTAACAGGAAGTTATGATAAGTGTGTAGCTACACTTAGAGAGAAGAATAAAGATGATATGGCCGTTGTATTGGCAACCATATTTTCGCACAGTCAGGTAGCTAAAAAGAATTTGTTGGTGGCCATGTTTTTAGATCATTTGTGGTCAAAAGAACCCGGACTTACTGAAGAACTTGCCACTACTCTAAATGAACTTACATCATTAAATAAGAGTGAACACTCTAGGGTAGCTCTTAGGGCTAGACAAGTAAGTAATATTTATCATAAACGTCATGCCATTTAACTAATTGTTATTATTGTTGTGCCTTCAATATATCTAGATCCTTATCGCGGCTCATCAACCAGCTTACGAACTTCGTCATAATCAGATGGAAAGCATCTTTTTGTCAGCAGTCGACATGTATGGTCACGAATTCCACCCAGAAAACTTGCAAAAACTTATTGCGTCTGAAACAGCAATTTTTGATATTCTACATGACTTCTTTTATCATGCAAATCGTGCAGTTTGCCATGCAGCTCTTGAAGTTTACGTACGTCGGGCCTACACCAGTTATGATCTCAATTGTCTTCAACATCTCGAGCTTTCTACCGAAACTCCAGTGGTTCATTTCCAGTTTGTTCTACCACCTTCCCATCCAAATCGCCTAAGTCGTTTGGATACTCTTAGGGATCAATTAAAATCACAGGAAGAAGAGGGGACTGATTTAACAAAATTGGCCCATGACACATTCCAAAGAACAGGTTGCATCATCGCTTTTAATACAATCCAGGAATTCGAGGAAGCAACAGATGAAATCCTAGATCTTTTGGAGGATTGTGCGAGTCCTGCTGCAATTTCTGCAAAAGATCTTAGCATGTTAGAAAGTGGATCAGAATCAAGAGGCAACAGTACATCAATTAACGTCAGTATCTCAGTAGCAGAATCCGGAAGACAAAAAGACGAGGAAGAAATTACTGAGCCAAATCATATTCTACAAGTTTGTATAAAAGACAAAGGTGATACAAATGACTCTTCCATGAGCAGAATGTTTGGAAGTTACTGTGCAAAACACAGAGAAGAATTGGAAAGCAGAGGAATTAGAAGGATTACTTTTGCCGTTTTAAAGAACAAACAATATCCCAAATATTTTACATACAGACACAGGGATGGATACAAGGAAGACAGAATTTATAGACATCTTGAACCAGCTAGTGCATATGAACTAGAACTTGACAGAATGAGAACTTATAATCTGGAAGCATTGCCCACTTCAAATCAGAAGATGCATCTGTATTTGGGCAAGGCAAAGGTTGCTCCTGGACAAGAAGTAACTGACTATCGATTCTTCATTCGATCCATAATTAGACATCCCGATTTAATAACAAAGGAAGCGTCTTTCGAGTACCTTCAAAACGAAGGTGAACGGGCGTTGCTGGAAGCCATGGACGAATTGGAAGTTGCTTTTTCGCACCCTCAGTCAAGAAGAACAGATTGCAATCATATCTTCCTTAATTTTATGCCAACTGTCATTATGGATCCAACGAAGGTACTTCGACGAAATCGACTTTTAATTTTTATTGAAACCTGTAAGCTGTGCTTTTATTGCTTTAGATAGAAGAAGCTGTCACAAATATGGTAATGCGATATGGTCCAAGGTTATGGAAGCTACGTGTCCTTCAAGCAGAATTAAAAATGCCCATCAGGATTAATCCAAATGCACCCCTGCAAAGTTTACGCCTAACTCTTGCCAATGATAGTGGATACTATTTAGATATTAATATGTATACAGAAATTTTGGACCCTGAAGCTGGAATTGTAAGTGTTGCAATTAAATTGCATATTACCATCAATTTGATGGAGGACTGTAACCATTAAATTTGTATTTAAATGTATTTTCTTGCAGATGCGATTCCAGGCTTATGGTACCAAACAAGGTCCCATGCATGGTCTTCCCACGACGACACCATATTTGGCCAAAGATTATTTACAACAAAAACGTTTCCAAGCTCAATCATCAGGTACTACATATGTTTACGACTATATTGACATGTTTCGTCAAATGATTGATAGCCACTGGAAGCTCTACAGTGAAAAAAGGAACGGTTAGTTTCATTTGTAGAAAAACTTTTGTATAGGAAAGCACTAATAAATATTTTTTTAGAAGCCGTGAAGACTCCAGATAAGCAACTGGATTTTGTCGAATTGGTATTGGATCCAGAAACAGAAACTCGTCTGGTAGAAACTAAACGTATCCCTGGAGAGAATAATGTGGGTATGGTGGCGTGGAGATTAACCCTGTACACGCCTGAATATCCCGATGGGAGAGATATTATAGTTATTGCAAATGACATCACTTACCAGATAGGTTCATTTGGCCCTAGGGAAGATAAAGTGTTTGGACTTGCTAGTGAGGTTGCAAGGCAATTAAGAATTCCAAGGGTAAGATGTCATTTTTCTTACAATTGTAAATGAAATAATCATGAGTTTATTTCAGGTGTACATTGCGGCAAATAGTGGCGCAAGAATAGGTTTAGCTGAAGAAGTGAAGAAGTTGTTCAGGGTTGCTTGGGATGACCCCAACGAACCTGACAAAGGTTTCAAGTATTTATATTTGACACCTGAAGATTATGCGAAACTTAGCACATTGAATTCAGTAAGGGCAGTGCTTATAGAAGATGAAGGTGAGTCAAGGTATAAAATTACCGATATAATTGGTAAAGAAGATGGTTTGGGGGTGGAAAATCTACGGTATGCTGGTATGATTGCTGGTGAAACGTCTCAGGCGTATAACGAGGTTGTAACGATTTCCATGGTTAGCTGTAGGGCTATTGGTATAGGTTCCTACTTAGTTCGTCTCGGACAACGTGTCATACAAATTGAGAATTCCCATATCATTTTAACTGGTTACATGGCTTTGAACAAGGTAAATAATTAATTTTAATCCCTTAAACGATATTGTAATGCATACCGTGCAAAATACAAGTCTAAAAAAGAGTTTATTTTCTTTAAGCTTCTGGGCAGAGAAGTATATGCTTCAAACAATCAACTTGGAGGCATCCAAATTATGTACAACAACGGTGTCACTCATAAAACGGAACCTACTGATATTGAGGGTATTAATACTATCCTAAAATGGCTGTCATTTATACCTAAAGATAAAATGTCCCCCTTACCCATAATAAATTCATTGGATCCTATCGACAGAGAAGTGGAGTATACACCTACTAAAACACCATATGATCCTCGATGGATGTTAGCAGGCCGGGAAAATTTGAGTAAGTTCTTGTACATTTTAATTACGTCATTTGATATATTTTATAAAGTTATAAATGGGCGGTGATTTAATATTTTGTTTATTTAAAGGCAACCCAGGAGAATGGGAAAGTGGATTTTTCGATCGAGATTCTTTTTCGGAAATAATGGCACCTTGGGCTCAAACTGTTGTCACCGGAAGGGCCAGACTTGGAGGAATTCCTGTAGGAGTAATTGCTGTAGAAACAAGAACTGTTGAGTTGAAATTGCCTGCTGATCCTGCCAATTTAGATTCTGAAGCAAAGGTAGAAATATAATATATTTATCTGTTATGCACAAAACTTTAACAATTTATCTTTGTAGACGGTTTCACAAGCTGGCCAAGTTTGGTTTCCAGATTCTGCATACAAAACTGCTCAAGCTATCCAAGACTTCTCCAGAGAAGATTTACCACTCATCATCTTTGCCAATTGGCGAGGTTTCAGTGGTGGAATGAAAGGTAATGCGATTTAATTTTAATCTTATTTAATAAAATAATTTTTGTTCATTTATATTTTTTATTTGCAGATATGTATGAGCAGGTGATGAAATTTGGTGCTTACATAGTCGATGGTTTGAGGCAGTACAATCAGCCAATTATAATTTACATTCCACCAAATGGCGAGCTTAGGGGGGGTGCATGGGCCGTTGTAGATCCAACTATAAACTCTAGGCACATGGAGATGTACGCCGATCCGGATTCAAGGTGGGTCTTTTTCCTAAATTTTATGTTTTATTTTTAATTGCAAAATTACTTATTGCAGGGGTGGAGTTTTGGAACCTGAAGGGATCGTCGAAATTAAGTTCAGGAAAAAAGATCTTCTTAAGGCTATTCATCGTCTTGATCCTGAGATTGTTGAGCTAAACAAAAAGATAAACGAAATTAACAAATTGCAGCCTGTGGAAAGAAAGTCTAGCATCACTCAACAAGTAGAAAGGCCAAAGAATCCAGAAGTTCTGGAACTTGAGAAGAAAGTTGCGGAAAGAGAGAAGATCCTGCTACCTATGTACCATCAAGTGTCTGTACATTTTGCAGATCTTCATGATACTCCAGAAAGAATGCACGAGAAAGGGGTGATTAATGTAAGTTTGCCTATCACAAAAATTTTTGTATATTGTTATATAAATTTTTCTTCTTTTTGACATAGGAAGTGGTACCTTGGAGAAATTCGAGGAAAATCCTTTATTGGCGGCTCAGACGACGACTGTTACAAAATAGAGTGATAAGTTCCATGACAGAAATTCAACCTACTATTGCTGTTGGACAAGCAGAATCTATGTTAAGAAGGTGGTTTGTTGAAGACAAAGGTCCAATCGAGGTAAGAAATTACATAAATGCAGTTTTGTTAAATTAACTTAATTATTTAATGTTTGTAGAGTTACAAGTGGGAAAATAATGAGTCAGTTGTGTTATGGCTAGAAGACCAACTTAGCCGACCTGCTGAACAAAGTATCATTGGCTACAATCTTCATTGTGTCAGCAAAGATGCAGCTCTTACTAAAATACAAGAGTCTCTCGAAGTGAGTGCGATCTGCTTAAACTTAATTTGTAATGGCTAATTTGTCAAAATTTGTTACTTTTGTTTCAGTCCTGTCCTGATGTTGCTCTCGATGCTGTGGTACAAATAGTTCAGAAACTTAAGGACAACCAAAAAGCGGAAGTTATAAGGACTTTGTCTTTATTACAAGACGACCAGGAGTCCCCAGAATAGCAATATGATACTGATACGGGTGAACTTGTTTATTAATTTATTTGTTTGTTACTTTTTTTATAATTTGCTATAATAAGCTAAGAAACTTGTTAAATAGACGTAGGTTACGAAGATGTATAGTTTTGTAAAGTGGTGCATTTTTGTATATTATAGTTACATAAGAATAATTTGTATTTATTAAGTAAACTTGTACAAAATTTTTAATTTTAATTTATAAGAAACTTTCGCAATTTAATAATAATTGTTTTATATTTCGAATGACGCGTTTATAATGTTCACAACACTAGAAATCAAAAATTAATGGGTCAATTTGAGCCAAAAAATACGTAAAACACCATAAATAATCATTTTTTGACAATAATAAAGCAAGCCACAGCTAGTGTTCTTATCATTTATTGACTGATTATCGATATCCGTTGTCATTTATTGGTGCATTAAGCAAAAAATTTGACCAAATCTTCAATTTTAATTAAAAGCTTATACGAGAATAAGTTACTTAAAGGTTTATAATTAAGAGTTATTGGGCAAAAAGTACGACTGATAACAAAATTTAGGTAAGTATCTTAATACTGTTTATAATATTATAATACTGTACTTAAAAATAATTAAAGTTACGTTACTTTGCGATTATCCCATGTATTTTAGTTATTAAAAATAGTAAGTCCCTCGTATTTCATGTAACTAAGCGACATCTCTCGACCGGTAGTCAAATAGTATAAAACGTATTTTACAGGTTTCAATCATATTACAGATGTTTTTAGAACAGCTACTAAAGTTTAAGCGGTAACAATAATAACACGAAATCCAAAAATGTAAAAATTCGATTTTAGTTCGTATAAATGCATCGACTTTGACCGAAAAATACGTAAAAACACCATAAATAACCATTTTTTTTGAAAAATAAAGTATGCCACAGGTAGTTCTTATCAATTATTAATTAATTAGCCATATCAGGTTTCATTTACTGGCGAATTAAGCAAAACTTTTGTAGTAGTGTTCTATTTCGGTTCCCAAAAACAATCGACAGGTAGCTATACATGGGTTTTTTTTGGGAACCGAAATAGAACATTAGTGCAAATTTTTTGCTTAATTCATTTGTAAATGACAAGTGATATGGATAATTAATTAATAGATAATAAGGACTAACTGTGGCATACTTTATTTTCGTAAAAAAATGGTTATTTATGGTGTTTTTACGTACTTTTTGACAAATTTCGGTTCCCAAAAACAATCGACAGGTAGCTATACATGGGTTATTTTTGGGAACCAAAATAGAACACTAGTACAAAAGTTTTGCTTAATTCGCCAGTAAATGACAAGTGATATGGATAATTAATTAATAGATAATAAGCACTAACTGTGGCATACTTTATTTTTGTAAAAAAGTGGTTATTTATGGTGTTTTTACGTACTTTTTGACAAAACTCGATCCACGTATATGAACCAAAATCGAACGAATCGAGTTGAAAATTTTTGCTTGACTGTTTGAATCGTTCGATTTTGATTCATATACGTGAATCGAGTTTTGCCAAAAAGTACCTAAAAACACCATAAATAACCATTTTTTTACAAAAATAAAGTATGCCACAGATAGTCCTTATTAGTTTTAAATTAATTATCCATATCAGTTGTCATTTACTTGCGAATTAAGCGAAAAATTTGTCCTACTGTTCTATTTCGGTTCCCAAAAATAACCCATGTATCTACCTGTCGATTGTTTTTGGGAACCGAAATAGAACACTAGTACAAAAGTTTTGCTTAATTCGCCAGTAAATGAAATCTGATATGGCTAATTAATTAATAATTGATAAGAACTACCTGTGGCATACTTTATTTTTTTAAGAAAATGGTTATTTATGGTGTTTTTAGGTACTTTTTGGCAAAAATCGATCCAGGTAAATGAACCAAAATCGAACGATTCAAACAGTCAAGCAAAAATTTTCAACTCGATTCGTTCGATTTTGGTTCATTTACGTGGATCCAGTTTTGACAAAAAGTACGTAAAAACACCGTAAATAACCATTTTTTTTTTAAAATAAAGCATGCCACAGTAAGCTCTTATCAATTACTAAGTAATTATCCATATCAGATTTCATTTACTGGCGAATTAAGCAAAAAATTTGCACTAATGTTCTATTTCGGTTCCCAAAAAAAACCCATGTATAGCTACCTGTCGATTGTTTTTGGGAACCGAAATAGAACACTAGTACAAAAGTTTTGCTTAATTCGCCAGTAAATGAAATCTGATATGGCTAATTAATTAATAATTGATAAGAACTACCTGTGGCATACTTTATTTTTTTAAGAAAATGGTTATTTATGG